GAAAAATAAAGGATTAAAGTGATCTTATAGTTGTGCGGGGACTAAGCAATTAGGAGGAAAAAGACAAATTATTTTGCCTACAAATAGGTGGTTGTACCATCAAAAAAAAAAAAAGAGAATTTTGAGGCTGAAAGAAAAGCTAAAAACCATTTTCCTACACTTTTCTTTTCAACCCACGCACAAACACAAAAAATCATAATTCTATCTTGACAAAATGAACCATTAGCTATACAAAGAAAAAATGTTATCATCTTTAACCCTTCATCTTCTCTAACAAAACCACCAATATCAGTCTTTTTCCAAACAACTTTTGTCCCTCTTTCAACTACCACCGCGAGCAACCCCCTGTGCAAATATTTATCTCAATGGTCATTATCGACACAATCGCCCTTTTATCTCCTTTATTTTTTTTTCAAGCGAAGGCAACCTTTCATCTATTTTTTTCTCACCATCATCACCACAATTTCCCCTTTTATCTCCCTTAATTTTTATTTTTTTCCTAACATCAATAACCCCTACTTACAACCCATTAAGGCTAGTAGCTCTTCTCCCCTTACCAGTAAAAAACCAAAACCCATCTTCACACCAGAGGGCAAAAAAATAGTAAATAAAATTTGGAACCAAATTGATTTTTCCCTTTAATTTTAAAAATTGAAGAGACCTAATATCTATAATTTGTGAAATATAAGGACTATAATAAATATTTTTCTAAAAAATTTTAAAGCCACTCATTCCATATTTGTTTTTACTTTGGTTTCCCCGTCTTTCAATCTCACCATCTCCCAACAAATTGGTTAATAATTTGGTTTAATAATAGCCGAATAAGATAAAAAAAAATTACATTGTGAACAGTTCGTCCACAATTCCATATAAGGGGATCCACATTGCATTTTTCACAATGAACCCCCCACATGTTTTAGTTTTTTAGTTAGCATTTGTTTAAATTATTTTATGCTGTAAAATGTTCTTTCATTAGTTGTGGTAATGATTATTGTTACACGTAGGCATATAGTGAATATGGCGTTGGGGGTAAAGGAGTCGCCACCTAATTATTTAATTTAAGGTCACTGGGAGACCTGGGTGTACTAGTCTTAATAGAAATTTCAAAGGTAAGAAACTGATTATAGTAAAGAAAGATATTAGCACCCATAATGCACCTTACTTGAGATAAGTTGTATTATGTGATTTAAATATAGTTTAAAGGATTTGAAGTGTTCCTAACTGTTGACCTATTTATAGTTCAAAATAAAGATTTACTTTGATGAATAAATCTGGCATTTCAAGTATTTTATAAGCTTATATACCCAAATAAATTCTTATAGAAATGATTCATTTAAGTGCTTTGACAGGATTCACCTATCCTGAAAGGTGAAAGGGTTCTCCATAACTCGTTTATTATGGTAAAAAATACTCCCAATTAAAATTTATGAATATTTAAAATAACCTAAAGATTTTCTAGTCAACTTTTGATATTTAAATATTAGCCTACTTATAGGTCCGATATTTATATCAGGATGTTGACAATTAATTTTCATGAATTAAAATTCTTAGGGTTATTGAAACATTGGCCAAATCCTTAAGGAATTTTACAAACTTATTGTAAATTCCCAAAAAAAAAAGAGGAAAATCAACACAAGTATTTTCTAAAACCATGCTAAAAAACATTTTTCTTTTTCTTTTTTATAAATAAAATATAATTTTTTTTATAAGAATTGGGTCTTATGCAACAAGTAAAAATCATTTTTGTTTTATTTTTTAAGGCTATGTTTGGAAAAAAAAATTATTTTTGTTCAAAACAAAACAGTCTAAACATATTTTAGTTTACTTAAAATATAGTTTGTCAAATATGTCTTTAAGACAAAACTCTTTTTATCAAAATAGTGGCAAATTAAACAAAGTCTTAAGTATTTGGTCTGATTTTAACATGAATGGGTTGACCTCAAAACACTGGTTCAACCCTGAATAGAACCAAAAATCAATGTTTAACCCAAAAACTAAACTAAAACAAACCATTAACCACAAACAAATCAAAACCATAAAAAAATACATAAAATTTTCTAACAAAAATAAATCAAACACCAAGAAAAATAAAAAAGATGAAGAACACTCAAACTCAAACCCTGCAATTTAAACATTAAACCAAACTAGATTTCAAGCAATAAAAGAAAAAGTTTTGTTCGTAATCAAGCACGGATCAAGGATTAAGTATGCATTTGCTTAGATTATTAAACATCATGATTTTTATCAAAAATGGATTTTAGTTCAAAATCAAACCTAATATTAAAACCTACAAAAACATATTGTTGATTCATGAAAACCCTAGATTATCTACTAATGATGATATATGAACTTGAAGAAACCAAAATCAAATCAAAATGAGATATAAAACTAGCATTGAAGACAATATTCTTCAAATGAACATGAAAAATATAAACTCAGGTTGCCCAGAAAACCCAACATATATTGTTATAAACCCAAAAAAATACATTTTAGGCCTCCAAACTAAGCTCCCTTAGCCCCAAAACCATATTATTATAAACAAATAGGTTTGAATAAAAAACACTAACAAATAACCTCAAATCATCAAAAACATGTATAAAATTTCAACTTTCAAAACTGTAGTCATATTATTAGCCAACAAAAACATCAAAATTCAATCAAAAACTGGCTCTTTAAACACTTGTGATCCAAACTAAACTTAAGAAGCATCAACAACTTAGAAAAAACCATCAAACATCTACTATTACATTTGACAGATTCTAAAATTACTATGCTTCATCAAAACCAAGCACACAAACACCTTTTAAACATCTCAACAACATTAATAACAACTTCAAAACAGGATTAAACAATCAAGACAATATTTTCATTCATTAATCCATATAAATGATAAAACATAAAGTAATGTTAAAAGGATTAAAAAACGTCATTAAAGATCAAAAGGGCATGAATGGGCAAGTCATGTGAACTTTAGGAGTTCTTAAGTGTGAACACATAAAAATATTTGAGAGTTTTACACAAATAAGTATCTTAGCCAAGGCAAATTGAGTTGGCCATTGTCGAGGCTTTGCTGAATAAACTCCGATGTAAACGCTATCGAATGCCACCAGAACTTGGTAGAGGAGATGCACACCTTTCATTTGGATCCATCCTTGCTCTATTTGGAGGTTTGTAACTCCATATTTATTGGCTTGAAGGTGCCAACTTGATCAGTTTATAATTTGAAAATGTAGTGATAACTGATCAGGGACAAGAAGTTGGAAACTTTTATGAAATAATTGGGACATAATCATAATATTTCATTGAAATGAGGTTGTAGAGAGGATGTTCTTCTATTTGTAAAAAACCTCGTGCCATTTAGAAGGTTAGAACTCCACAACAAGCTCTTGGAAGATGCCAACCCGATCATCCAAAACTGTTAAGAAAAAAGATGAATAATAGGTGAATGACAGGTCATCTAAGTTAACCCTTTGAAATTAAGGTTTTTAATATGAGATCTGACATATTTCATTTTAGTTTCTATTCTTTTAATTGTTTTTAATTGCACTCATAATTGTCTCCTAAACTTTTATTTTTATGCAATTCTACACATGTTAAACTCAATCACCAACCTCAAAGTTTAACATCATTTTCATCTTAGTTCTTGGTTTTTAATTTGTGCACTTGGACCCATAATTGACCATCAAACTTTTAATTTTCTATAATTTAACCTCTGGTTTGATCAATTTCAGCCCCTGAAGTCTTGCACCTTTTACGATTTAGTCCTTGGTTTTGAATTTCTTCAATTAAACCCTTAATTGGCTATTAAACTTTAATTGTTTCACAATTAAGCCTTTGATTTGACTAATTAAACTTTTTAAAATCCAATTTCAATCCCCAAACTTCAATTTCTTCTAGTTAACATCCAATTTGACTCCAAAAAACTAATTTTTCTTGCAATTAAGTTCTCAATAAAATTAATTAATCCTTTCAAAATCTTCATTAAGTCCTTACTCATTCAAATTTGTATTTCTTTACCCTAAATAAAATATTCTCACCAATTAGGCCTTTTGTCAATCAAAATTGAATCAACAATTTTATTAATCTTGTATATTTTGGTCCTCCAACCTTTTCACATGTTATTTTGATAATTCGCCACCAACTTGGGTAACTTTCTAGGCTTTTTTCATGTATATCCTCTTGTATTTTTCTATTTTACTTTTCTTTTTCTTCTCTTGATTTTTTTGAAAAGTCAAAAAATAAGTAACAAGAAGTTGATAATAAAAGTGACACTGAAACTGGTAATGGTGTAAAGCTGGTAATGGTGTAATGATAGCAAATAAAATAATGCTGCTAATGACAAATATAAAAATGATTATGAAGTGGTATGGAGTGGCAACCATAACATGAAATGGTATGGAATGGCAATAATAACAATAAAGATGGTGATGATAGTAGCAACATTGCAATGGAAATAATGGTTAAATAATCATATGATAATAGTAGATTACTATGGTTTATAAACACTTTATAAGTTGAAAATATTTTTTAATAAATAAAGTAAATTTTTAAATTATCCATAAAATATTATACATCAATTAGTTTTTTTTATGAGATTTTTACAGGAAACAAACATGTAAAAATCAAGAAAATATTTTTATGTAAAATACAAACATGTAAAAATCAAGAAAATATTTTTATGTGAAATATTTTATATAATACAAACATCTCATAAACCATTGCTCTTTCTTCACTCCAAATCCTTGTTCACCTTCTCTCTTTAAAAACCGCTCATATGTTTAGTAATTACATAGCATGTATATTATATTAATCATCTTCGTTGCCTGAAGCAAATTTGGTGTCAGTAGTGCAATTAAGGTTATGTTAGTCCACTTAAAATTAGAAACGAAAGCATTTTAAGTAAAAAATTAATTATTATTTTTTTGGCATTCTTCCACTACGGGAATGTGATTCTCTTTTGAGGCTTATGCAAAAGCCAAATCCGCAAGAAAAGTCAAATGTAACAAAAAAGCTCAAGTTACTGTTGGGTCAGCCCCTTGATACCAAACTCCTTATCTCAACGACGAGGTTTTTGTGCTCTTCACACGTATGGAAATCAATGCTTCTTCCAAGTACACAAGTTTCTTTTGCAACAACTAGAAGCAGACTGGAGTTGCTAAAGACTGGAAAGACATTTTGCATATTGCACACGCACGCCTACTGCTATATACGAGGTATATATTTCTGAGAACAAAAATGTCGCATAATTCAGGTAATCAGAGATAATGTAGAGCTGTCAAATGCAAAAACAAGGTTTCAACGAACAAACAATCTCAGCTGAATGCTACCGTGTTGTCCAAGCTGAAGCCATCATTTTGACGTTTTGTCTAAACCAATCCTAAAGAAGCCATTAAAAGGGTTTTGCTGTGCTTGCCTGGTTCAAATCCTCGAAGAAGATTCAAACTGAAACTGCAAATGTTACCCCAGGTTCTGAGAAATAACCTGCAAGCTTACAAATACAAATCCTATAAATTACATGCACCACAAAATTAAAGAAAGCACATTAAAGAGGTTGGGAGAAGAATAGCATTCAGTTAGTGGCAGAAGTCCAAAGCAGATGAAGACCTAATCAGTCCCCCAATGAACCAAAGGAAAAACCAATCCCTAAAGCAGCTTTATAAAAGTACATATTTTATTAGGCAAGTAGAGTATTCACATGACTATGAAAATTTTCATATCATGCCAGAGGAAATAAGATTTCAAGACTTTGAGGAAACTTGATGAAATTACTGCTATAATGCTGATATAGATAACTGTACTGAGAAAAGTAAGCTTGCCTCTGATATTAATGGCTTAGCATGCTCTTCCCACTCGGTAGCCCACCTTGAAGAACCCATTTCTAGTGCACCATTTCTTAGCAGCTTCAGTGCATCACATTCTTCTGGAAAACCCTTAAACAGCATCTGCACACATTCACCGCAACATCATTTTTGCCATGATACTAACCAAACTGAAAAAAGAAAAAAAAAAAAAAAAAAAAAAAAAAAAAAAAAAAACAATCCTTAACTGTAGCTCCACTATCTTTCCATCTATAACTTTGTTTCAAGTGTCAGTGCCTTTATACCACATACCATCAGTTTTGGGCAAGTTGCTTAAAATTTTCCTCGCTTTTAGTTAATTCATGAAAAATATTATCTTAACAAAGCAATTAAAATTTACCAAAAGTTCATCAGCTAATTCTGATGATGATGAGAAGAGAAGACCATTTTTCTCAACTTTCACGAGCTCCTTGATGCTTCCAATCAAGAGTGCCAAAGAAAACATGGCAAATAAATGAATAATGCAACTAGAACCTTGAATCACATGCTGAAAAAAATAAACGGTAAGGCTTTACCAAGAGTAGGCAACAGCGCAAACAGGTAGTCCACAACCAAACATGTCCACGACCTGTGCCAGAGATTTTTATGGAGAGTAATAACATAACTTTTGTGCAATGAGTAAGTGTTTGTATCAGTCAAGAAAAAAGCAAAACAGTTTTCATGCATATTTCAACATTGGGTTTATACCTTCATGGGAAGGTCCAATCCTGATGATGAAGTATGCAAGCACACTCCAAGGTCTGCCGAACCTGTGAATGTGTAAGAGAGATGGGATTACTTCACTTGCTTGAAGAAATTATAACAAAAACCAGTGAGATGGTTTACTACCTAGAAGCAATGGATAATCCTCAGCTGACAACCACATGGTACGAAATGCAACACGCTTAAGATGTAACCGTCTTATTTTTTCTTCATATTTTTCTTTTTCTGGCCCTTTACCTTCATTCATCGAAAAAGTGAGATCCCAGGTTAGAAGTTGTTTCATGCCAAAGATACGAAAACATTCATTTGGGAGGCAAAAGAAATGTTGATAAGAAAATGAAGCAAACAAAAATATCACCTGTAATGATGAATAACAACCTAGGGTACAAACATTGCTTTCCAGCTGACATTTCATTCCAAAGAACTTCCACAGTAGAATCATCTTCATTTAGAATAGCAGCAACTCGTCGATCATACATAACTGCTGCCTCAAGAAGAATGCCAAAATCTTCATCTGCTGTCCTGCAAACCATTCTCTCATTTTAACATGCTCTGGTAAGTTTACTTTCAATGGAATTATCTTAAAGGCAACACTGAATTACTTGAGAGTGTTCCACTATGCAAGGTCAACTAGTTAATCAGGTGGAGTACACTAGAATTATTACTCTGCATGGTTGAGATTTAAGGTTAGGATCGTGAAATATAGGGAAACATGGAAAAACCTGGGTTTGGTATGGAAAAAAGACATATATCAGGGCTTCTAATTAGATTACTAGGATAAAGAATTTCTCATTAGTGATTTGTTATTATAGTACTGATGATAGGGTATATTTAAAAGAATTTGAACAGAGTTCTGTGTTTTCCTTGCTCTCTACTTGGAGGATACTTCTTTCCTTCTCCTTTCACTTCCATCATTTCAACACTCAAATGAAGGAAATTAAACCACTTCCTTTCATCCCTCCAGCCAATCCAAACAAAATAAAAGGGAAAAAATCATTTAACAATGATGCAATACAGTAGCTATGTTCACATAACAAACTTAAGATAACCTATAAGTGAAATGATATTATACAGTTTGAGTGAGAAGGAAAACTGTAAGAACCACCAAATATGTCAATGGCACCATAATCTGAGATTACTCAGCAATTGGGGCGTATACTTGGCTCATCAGCGTGAGCATGAAAACTAAAACAGAACAACTCACCAGCTTGTACTGCTTACAACAAGAGCAGGCCTATTTGGCTTTAAGAAAATATCATCAGCAACCATGGTTGTAAATAAAGTCTCATTGAGATTAGGGCTACCCATTCCCACAGCTCCTGCAAATAATGTATAACTTAAGCAAATAAATCTGGATCTAACCGAACCTCAACAAAGATAAGATCACAAATTTATTTTGTCAATGATATTACCATGGCTGGCACAATCATGAACTCCTTGGGACTCACTGATGTGTTTACCTAACCTGCAGAATAACTACAATGATCCATGATAAATTTACAATTCAGTGTCTTCTTACTGAAGAACTTAGCATGAAACATGGGTTCACCTTATGTTTCTCCTCCAGTGAGGCAGGATGAAAAAACTCAGGTGGCTGATCATATAGAACTGCAGCTCTGTCAGTTTAATGTACAAAAGATGAGTAATAAACCCATAAAGATACGATAATAAAATAGTACAAATCAGAATGCAGAAAATCTGAGCATGTTGAGCTGACCATCTTACTTAATTCCCCAGTTTTGAGTCAATTCATGTTGCATAACCCTTGTTACACATAGGGAACCATGAGCCATCTTCCCATAATGCCTCTCAAACCTAAGCAAGTAAGAAAAACCAAGACATCTGTCACAGAACCAACAAAACTGATAATTCACAGGGCAAAGGACAATCAATAGTACCAACGATATACTGTCACAAATTGACTATTTCTTCCGAGCGATAATGCTAGCAAAGTATAACCAAAATTATGCCAATCGACAATAAACTTGGCATTTCTCAACCAGCTTGCCCATTTTACAGCTACCAGAGTTGGAACAGACGGAGGATTCTGCAGAAGCCAAAAACAATAATGAGACAATTCTTGGCTTAATCTGTGAGAAATCCAATAAAAAGATGCATAGACAATATAAGTTTGCACACATACATATGTCAGCTATAATGCCCAGAACAACAGAATGCTATATATACTTTACAGGTTAAATGTATTACCAACAAAACAAGATTGCAGGTTGAATAATTAACAATGGTCACTTAAATGAGGCAATTCTAACACGTTCCCAGCAACAAAGCATGGGCTCAATAAACGTTCCGTAGTCTCTACTTGATTGGACTAAGTGCCTGAGTTTCCAGCATGCATTTAATCCCACAATTTGACAAATAAAAGTTAGGACACATGGAGGCCTATCTGAGAGTCAATTATCATCTAGGACTCCACCAATTCCACCAACACACAGCCTGCCCCTTCTCTCCACTGTTTCCACAACCTAGACAAAAGCTCACCTTTTCTACGGCAAATTGCACTTTCATACCACAATTTCTATGTGTGTTATGGGCAGCATTCAAAAGGTTTTTTTTTTTTTTTTCCTTAAACAACTCATTACACGGGTAGACAAGAAAGTCCTAAGAATTATGGTACTGGCATGTTCTGACCTGCACAAGGAACACATCGGGGGGCGGTATTTTGACACACAAATACCAAAGAAGCATAAGAAACTGAAATAACGGCTTAAGTAAAAGCATGAATGGCTTAAGCATCTTCGGCAACCCCTGCGGAATTGATGGCCACTGTTTCTGCAAAAAAAACATTAAAATCAATAGTATTATGATGGAATAGAGATATTCAAGTAAGAGAATGCGAGATTTTGAAGTGATAAACACCATTTTGTGGATATGGATAGATTGATTCTCCCGCAATGCCATATGGGGTTCAGAACCTGCAGAAAGTTTGAATCAAATAATCAAATTTATTAAAAAAACACACAAAAATAAAATAATTTGAAAATGAAAATGAAAATGAAAAGGAGGGGTACCTCCATAAGCAACAATGTCAACTTGAAGAGATGCCTGACGAGAAAGGGAAAGAGCGTGATACTGCATTCGAGGGCTTCGGCCTATATCTCCCAATACCACTACGCATGCCCTCCCTCTTTTCCCCATCTGATCTTTCTTTCTCTTCACTTCTAATCATCATTACAAAATCGGATAAAGATCGATTCGGTTGATTTTATCAAGAATTAAATAAGAACGAATTGGAGCGAGCGAGCAACAGAGAAGGAGAGAGCTTACCACCAAATTTCAACGGAGTTTGCTATTGCAGAGATGTAGCTGAAATTGAAGTTTGCGGAGCTAGAAATGATCGGTGTGGGCTGGGTTCTCTCAAATAGGCCTTGTAGAGATTGTACTGTATAGAATTGGTTTCATTTCAAACCAGTGTTATAAACCAGCCCGGCCAGACGGATTGACCAAACCAAAGATTAAACCAGGTAGGTTTCCTTTAAAACAAGGCATGTATCGGCCCGGTTAACATTTCAAGTGGATTTAGAACATAATAAACGAATGTGGTGAATATATTATAACATATTATAATTTTTTAAATTAAGAAATGAAAGCATATTATTTACGTAACGGGTAAGATTTCAAGTAAATGTCTAACATGAAAAAAATTACATCATAAATATGTTTTCATATATTATAGCTTTTTTTTTTTTACTTGAAAAATAAAAAGATATTATTTATGTTTTATAAAATAAACTAAGAATTTTATGATCTGACATATTAAAAAAGAGTTGTCAACGCTACTAAAATATTAAAGTTGATAGCTAATTTTCATAGTAAAAATAAAAAACAAATTCACATACAAATATTTTACATCAAGTATCCTTTTTATTTTATACATTTTCATTCATTTTTTTCTAGTAGTTAAATATGGTTGCTAATAACAATTGAATTCTATTTTTATATTAAAAAAAACCCATATAATTACAACTAATTTATATAAAATATAAGATGAAAAATATTTTATATAAATTAAACTAATTTATTTGAATAATCATTCAACAGAAAAAAGTAAAAAAAAAAAATCAATCACTATTTAAAAATACAAAATTAATTCAATTTGTTGAAAAAATTAGAAAGAATGTATAAATCAGAATTTATATAGAAACAATTAATGAAAAAAAATAAAAACAAAAAGGTCAGGTTTTAATAGAGTAGACCTATGCGCTTGGCTTTAATCAAAAACTCAAGTGTGTTTTTTTTTTTTTCATTAAGAGTTCTGCAACAAGTTACCTGCAATGATAAATGAGCTTGGAGGCAATCGAAAAATCAAGGTTCTAGTTTTTGAACCTTAAAAATTTAAATTTTATTTTATTTTTTACTTGAAAACATCTTTAAAACACAATATAAACTATGAAAAACCACTTACTAAACCCATATCACCCCTAAAAACACTTCCAAAAATGAAAATTAATTGAAATAAAAAGGATGTAATTCTATGTTTACTGAAATACTTATAAGAAAAGGACAAATATATTAAACATCTCTTAAAAAAAACTCATTAACATAAAGATTATCTTCAAAATATAATCAATTAATAATTTTTTTCTCTTTCTCTTGTTGTTTTGGCTATTTTATCTTTCCTCTTTTAAACACATATACTATAAAAAAAATGCACAAAATAAATTTTTAGATCTAAACAACTTTTCATGTGTGTTTTAGATTAATCAAGTTATTTCCTCATGTTTTACATTTTGGCATTCTTTTTTTTTCCTTCTAAATTTAAACTATAACTCATTAAATTGATTATAAAATGATACAACTACAAAAATAAAAAATAATTTTAAAAAAATCAAAGCACTATTCAAATGAACAACACCCCACGTCAAATCTTTTAAATGTATTAGTGAGTAGTTATAGTAAGAAAAATAGTAGTAATTAGGCAATCACATAATTTTATTATGTATTAAAAAAACTAATATACTTTTATTATTTTGATTTAAAAATAAAGAATGAGTGATAAGTTAAAATTATATTTACATGTACAGATATATTCAATTAAAAGAAAAAAGTAAGAAAGAAAAGAAAAGGAGGGAATTTTGTTACCTTGTCTATTACATTGTAGATAAATACAAAATTTTAAAAAAAATCCAAGTTTTAATTTCTATAAAAAAATTAAATAATAGAAAAGATGAGATATTATAAGATCTTATATCGGCGGGTGAGGAGTTAGTTGCTGGTCTTATTAGTAGTGTGAGTGCTAACTTGTCAAACACATTTTTGAGAGCGGTCTTATTAGTAGTGTGGGTGCTAACTTGTCAAACACATTTTTGAGAGCCAAGCTCAGAAGAGAGCTTGCGTTACTAAGAACAAAATCGTGAGGTTGACAAGGCCCAAAACGAACACTATATAGCAGATTGGGTCAGGCTGTTACATTTGATATCAAAGCCAACTTCACTAGCTGTTTGATGATACCAACAAGGTCATCAGACTTCTTAAAGGGATGGATTGTAAAGATCCCACATTAATGGGTGCATGGTTAGCTACTAGACTTATTAGTAGTGTTGATGCTAACTTGTCATACATATTTTTCGGCATCAGGTTTATAAGTGAGCTTGCATCACCAGAAACAAAATTGCAAGGGTAATAAAACCTAAAGTGAATAATATATGATAAGTTAGGACGAACTGTTACAGATATTTTAACTATAAATTAGTCAAATAATGTTTATTTTCCATTTATGAGAGAAAATATAGAAAAAAAATATATATTTAACTCTTATTCCAAAAAAAAAATCAAAATTTTAGTGGCCTCAAAATGCTCTCAATCAAGCTATACATGTACTGTTGCTGTTTACAAGAGATGTTTAAGAGTATTGTGCTTCAAAGTGTTTTTTTATATATAAATATATTAAAATAAATAATTTATTTATTTTTTAAAATTATTTTTAATATTAAAATAATATGAAAACATTAAAAAAATTAAATTAAAAATACGTTTCAATGCGAACAGCAAGACATTCATACGACTCGGCAACAAAATTGGAGAAAATCAAAATATTTTATACTACGTGATTTCATAACCCTTACGAGCTCCACCTTAGCTACCATTCTAAACAAACTGAACCTTACGGATTAGGGCAGGATTTCAATTTTCTACGAAGCTCGTTTCTTCATGCAGTTTCGCTAGGGTTAAGCGAAGCTCTAGGCGGGAATGTCCCGTGCTTGTTTCAATGCATGCTTACGCATCGAAGTTGCGCACAAGTCGTGACAAGATGAAAACATCTGAAGGAGCAGAGTTAACTGCCTTAGCTTTCCTTTATGTTGGAAATCTGGCATCCAAACTGTTGGAGCCTAGCGACTTGAAGACCATGCATTTAATATCTGCACTTGAAGGCGAAAACTATAGTATATAATATTTTTTGTTTGATCAAAGAATATACAGTGAAGCAGCACAGTAGCCATAAGATTGTAACCATCCATCATCAATAAGAAAAGCTTGAAAATTTCAAAAGATTTGCAGACCCATCAATAGGGTAATGACATCTTTAAATAAAAAGGCATGCTCTCAACTTCCCAGAGTAAAGTTATTAGGCATGGGGCTGCTAAGCATCCAGGGAATGTTTCTATAACCTTGGAGCTAGGCGATTGCGAGGATGGTCCCAATCGGCTACAATGTGGGCACGAGTGATTTCCTTGAGGGAACGGCAACCACTTAACGCCATAGTAAGTTCAAACTCCTCACGCAGCATTTGAAGTACTTTTCTCACACCAGTCTCTCCTTCAGAAGCCAGTGAAAAGACCACTGGCCGGCCAATCTGTCATCAAGAACACCACCGAACAGGTCTCAATTCTCAGTTTCTTTTAATGGATGACAAAAATGAGAAAAGGCTCATCTTGTCAAATGAATTCCACATCAAGTTCAGTGACTTGGAAAAGAAACAGGCCCTTAATTAACAATAGCTGTGCACTGTGGTCGATATTAATTCCTAGCACATAGGCGGATCATAATTATGTAGCCCTTTTCTTAAGATTGCCAAAGGAAAGCTGTGACTGTGTCAATGTTTGATACTTACGAATATGCCTGAGGCTCCGAGTGCCAATGCCTTGAAGACATCAGTTCCACGCCTTACACCACCATCCAAGAACACTGGAACTCGTCCTTGTGCAGCCTTGACAACCTGACATCATCGATACAGAGATAAAATACAATCTCTTTTTTAGATTGTGATCATTTTTTTAATCGACTTAGCATTTGTTTCAGGTAGAAACATGTTGAATTACCTCTTCCAGCGCCATAATAGTGGAAGGGACATAATCGAGTTGGCGAGCACCGTGATTCGACACAATAATCCCTGCTGCTCCAGCTTGAATTGAAAGCCTTGCTGCAAAACCAGCAAAAAAATAAAAAATGTTCAAGCATTCACAAAAATTATAAAAGTGACTGTCAAAATTGCTATTATTTGTATTGTTCTTACTATCCTCAGCAGTGAGTACACCCTTCACTAGAATTGGCAGTTTGGTGATTGTCTGAAGCCACTCCACGTCCTATTCATAATCCAAAAGAAATCAATGGAGCAACTCATCTATACTAAGAATTAACATATAATCACGCTATATCAGTATTACAGTCTACAATTACTCTAAGATTTTGAAAAAATCTAAATTCCTTACCAAAGTAATTTGGATTGCCTAATGATCTTTGACAAGCTCAGTGATCTTTCTTAACTTCCAATACAAAGAAATCAAGAAAAAAAAGTTTTTATTTAAAATTCTAACATCTTACAAGTCTTAAGAATGTCCAACCTCTTTTACAAAATGTCTCAAATTCAATTAAAACAAATAAAAGAAAAATATCTAAATGCTTTGTCCTGATTCAAGTAGTGGCTTATAAATTAACCCGGAGCCTCCGAACATTTCAAATCTCAACCATAGAGACCAATCTAGCATACCTTCCAGCTCAGTGTACGATCAATTTGACCAGCAACATACGACGCAAGTCCAGAGTCATCAGCCTGCACCGCTAACGAAGCTAATTATGAGTTGTGTAAAAGAGAGTTATCAATCTAAAATGTTCAGTTATACAATTATTCTTCTGAGAATCATATAATTATTCCTCATAAGCAATTAATTGGACTCACCATGTCCATTTTTCCAAGGTCCAAACCTTCAAAGTTCTTCAATGTCAAAAATGGTGGCAGAGTAAATCTGTAAGAAAACCAATCAACAGAAACCATATAAAGTCACAATCAGGATATACCACTCCTCTGAGCAAATGGTTTGTTAAGGTCGATGTTAATTTAAGTTAGCACCTGTTCTTGATGTCAGCCTCCCTGCGGCCCAACCTTGGGGTATCAACTGTAAGAGCAATAGCCTTGAAACCTGCCCTTTCAGCTCTTCTGACAAGCTGAGCAACAACATTCCTGTCCTTGTACACCTACGAAAATAAACAGCAAAAGCATTTGTCAAGCAAACTACTGACATCCGCAAGCACACCTGAAAACCAAGATATTTTGATCCAACAAATAGAAGGACGTCAAACATAGTATCTCAAGCTTACATAGAGCTGGAAAAAGCGGATGCCAGGTCCAGTGGATGCAACCTCTTCAACGCTGGAAGTAGCCCACGAGGACAATGTCTGAAATAATCAGGAAAACATTTTAAAATTAAGTACAGCGAAGGCGTCTAAGATTGAAGTTGAAGAAGCATCTATGATGGGAATGTCAATGATTTAAAATTTGTCAATAACATTCTTCAGAAGAACAGCTGAAAAAGACGGACAATGGAACAGTTTTAAGGAAGAAAACAACCAGTAGAGATACGTGAAACACTCACAGTTTGAAAAATATCACCACAACACCACTTCAATGTTTGAGGGTATACACTTCAGGTAAGGGTTTCACGTAATATGATTTATATTAGACATTTAAAACAATCACATATCCCATAATTGTAAGCAACATAATGAACATTGAAACATTCTTTAAGTACTTGCAATCACCAAATTATCAGAATTCAGGGAGGAATGTGATAAAACATGAACAAACAGGCACATTACATTAGCTGCTCGATCCTCTATTTTGGTATGAACTAGTCGAATTAGTGCTATCTATCCTTAAAACAGAAACATTAGCAGTGCCTCTCAAGGTAGAAAACTCAGTTTATGGAACGCTGCAGTGCTCGTATCTAAATGAAACACAGAAGATGATGAAAATCAAACCATGATCGTCCCAGCAGCCGATGCAGCTCTTGCTGTTGCGTACTCCCCTGTATTAAAGGAGAAGGATTCTATCAAAATAAGGACCACGCCCGTCTTCACCAGATTCAAGGGCCAGATTAAACCATTAGCAGAAGAGATCCATTACCAACAACAAGCCAAAATCGAAGCACACTGCTACATACCTTCAGGATGAGCCATTTTCTGCATGGCAGTTGGAGCAATCATAATAGGCATTGATATTTTGAATCCCAAGACAGTGGTGGCCATGTCTATTTTGCTCACATCAATAAGAATACGGGGTCGAAACCTATGTATAATTCAAACCAAAACAAACACATTACTAAAGATGCAAATTACAATCAAGTTCCACATCCTGCGTTTTGTCTATAAACTATAAAGATAAAGAGACAAAGGCCCACAAAATTCTTGAGAATGCATTTCTGTTTTCTGCTAGAGTCCACTGGTCCTCTGCACCAGAAGCATAATAGTCAAAGACCATCTTTGGCAACTTCTGCTTAGCGATGGCCTCGTACTCCATGACATTGGTTATCTCCATCTTTAAAATCAACTGTTAAATCCTCCCACTAAACAATCTGTATTTAAGAATTAACAAATTATTGCCAATCAATAAACACAAGAGGCCATGTAAAAAATTCAGTGCAAGAACAAAAACACAAACACATGATGGGTTCCCAACACAACTCTCAACCAATACTGTATTATCATTATACTATACTCATGCTGAAAGAATCTTCACCAGCGCATCTAAAATTACAATTAATACAAAAAGAACAGACACCCTGAATAAACTAAAAGAAAGGGAACAATAGTAAAATTGTCGACAAAGTATGAACCAAAAAGAAAAACTTGTAGAAGTCCAGGTACTAGAAACCAGCAAAGAGTCTCAAACTTCAAGTGGATTCCCCGTATGGTGTGTGTGTGTGTGTGTGTGTGTGTGTGTGTGTGTGTGTGTGTGTGTGTGTGTGTGTGTGTGTGTGTGTGTGTGTGTGTGTGTATAAGAGAAAAAGAACATGCATATCTTTAACTTATCTCCGAAGTAACTATAACTATAATAAGGTGTGAAGTATAAATCAAGAAACTTTTAACGCTTTGTTTAATCAAGCACGCTGTAAAAAAGAAACATTTGCAGCTCCTTTTTCTGTCTTGAAGTTTTGAAACACTCAAAAGACGCAAGATAAACAAAAACCTCTAACTTTAAACAGCTAAAAGAAAAGGATAATTAAGAAGTGATAATTTGTAGCAGCATGAGAAGAAAAATAACAGGTTGTATGCTCATAAACAGAACCTCAAGAACAGGGTAAAGGATACAAGACCACTGTGGTTTTACATCCTAGCAAGCAATTACTAAGAAACTAAGAGTGAAGAAAGGTAGAGAGAAAATCAAAACAGACCTTGGAAAAGCAGCAAGAGTATGCACTGCATGCAGAGAAAGCAGATATAAGTGAATATAGTCAGAGAAAGAAACAGAAGGCAAAACAAGGAGGTTAATTATACGTAGGAATATGCATGGAGACAAAAATGGTGGGGCTGATACTAGACCATATGTATGCACAGGGGTTACATATATCGGATAGGGATACAAGAGTACAGGAGAATTAAAAAAATATAAATGCATGGCGTTGGTGTGGATGAGCATTTGGAGGTGGGAATTTAAGATCAAATCCTATCGTTGCAACTGGGTGCTTCTCGTCCACATAGCGTTTGTGTGTTTCGCAGCCTTTTCTCCTTCGATATCATTGCCATCACCAATTTTTTTTTTAAAAAAACTAATGAAATATAGAGATTATGTTTAATTTTGTTGAAAGATATTTCATTCTATTAATTTTTATTCATAAATCTTGTTTAAAATTACATTTAAACAAGATAGTGGTTATTGGAATAATATAAAGCTTATTGCAGATATTATTATTGATAACAACAATTTTTTTTTATTTTCAAAATTCTTTAATAATTAAGTATTTCTATTTATTTTAGTTTAAATATAAATATATTATATTATTAGTATGTATACTATTTTAATCTCTTATGTAATTTTGGATATGTGTTTAGTATTCATACTGGTTTATAGTTTTAATTGCAAGTTTACATGATTTATAAAATAACATGCTTATAATTTTAACATATATGAACTCTAATATTTTCTTGGATAACTTTTTGTTTAGTATATTCTTATAACAATAAACCGAATAATCCATGTTCAATAATGTAATTAATCATCTAATTTTTAGACAACATAGATATGTACTAATTGTGCTCTTTATTTTTATAAAATATAAGTTTTATTATAAAAATTATCCAAAATTATTATTATTATTATATATAGAAAGTGAATACAATTCTTGATATACAAGTAATTTCTCAAGTTTGAATAATTATATGTTTTTAAAAAATAAAAATAAAAATAAAAATAAAAAAATTAATTTCTTAGCTATTATTTGTATAATTAATTGATTTGTATGACACTCCCGTAACTTAAGAGTTTATTTGATATTATGAGCAGTTGTTTTTTAAAATATTTTTTACTTGAAATATATTAAAATAATATATATATATATATATGTATTTTAAATTTATTTTTGATATTTACATATCAAAATAATTTGGATATAAATAAAAAAATTAATTTTTAGTAAATAAAAAATTTAATTTTTTAAATACTTTTTAAATATAAAAATAAACAGATAAATATGAAAATAAACAGATTTGAAATGTTAGCGGGCTGATTCTAAAATAAATAAATAGAAGTGTCAAGTTGGGCTAAGAGCTACCACTACCTTAGCTAAGGCTAGCCCAGCGTATGTTAATTTAGCACTGAACTTGGACAGACTGCTGGCCCATATCCAGATCTTTACAGTTTTATAACTGAAAGACCCAATTCCAATCCGTCTCAAACGATTTTTTAATTTCCTGCCGAGAAAAGAGGCGAGACTAGAGAGCAAGGAAAGCAAAGCATAGCTTCTTCACAACTCTACTCTCCTCTCCTCTAGTCTTCTCTACTTCTCTCCAGGTCCAGTCGCTCTAGCAAAACTCAACTGAGAAAACCAAGTAACAGAATCTCGCAAGTGCGTGGCAATGGCGGATCGGAGTCGAAGTTTCCTGAAAGAAGGAACATTAACGTATGCTTATATTCTCCTTTACATTGCTCTCTCCAGTGGCCAGATCTTCTTTAACAAGGTCAACTCCCATCTTCTCTCACGCTGTTTCCTATCCTTTTCCTTTTCATTTCTTCATTAAGTGATTGATTGATTAAGCGTCAGTGTTCTGTTGAGTTTTTGGGCAAGATTGCATTAAAGCCTATCGTTGTTGGCATTTGCAGTTGAATGCTCCTTTATATATTTATATTTATAGGGTTTATAGAGTGAATTTAATGTTATTAATATTTCATTTTATGAAATTTTTTCATGATTTTGTTTTACAAAAGTAGCTCACATGGGTACTATTTAATAAATTGATCCTTTGTGTGGCTAATGTAAGGTTTTGTTTAATTGCAGTGGGTTTTGTCATCTAAGGAAATAAACTTTCCTTATCCTCTTGGACTGACTCTGCTTCACATGGTTTTCTCCTCTGTTTTGTGTTTTGTACTAACCAAGGTTTTCAAGGTATTGATTGATTGATCGATCGGGCTCTCTGATTATGATAATTTCCCTCAAGCAACTCTTAATCTTGATTTGTAACTCTTTACAGGTTATGAGGGTTGAGGAAGGAATGACCCTGGAAATGTAAGTACAAAAATTAAAACTTCTCCGTAACTGTTCATTGATGAACATCCTTGACAATTTCATTACATATGATTGTGCTTTGTACTATATCTAACTGATGTTTGTGTACCAAGATATACAACTTCAGTTATTCCCATTGGTGCAACGTTTGCAATGACTCTGTGGCTGGGAAACACAGCATACCTTTATATATCTGTGGCTTTTGCACAAATGTTGAAGGCTATCAGTAAGTGTTTACTGTCTTCATTTTCGTCCCTCTTTTACTAGGTTTACAGTGTAAAAAATTAACATGGTTTTTACATGATCAATGCTACATTCAACGAATTTAAAGGCACAAAACTTCATGAACACACAATGCTCTGGTTGTGATTACGCTAAACATTTTGCCTCTTTTGTTAATGTGGGTGATTCATGTCTTTGTTGTTCGTTATATTTATCATTTTCCCTCTTACATCTTGATAAATTGTTGTTATGAGTTTGAATAATCACCTGGATCTATTCTGGATATTAATTATGATCCTCAGCATCTGTGACTGCATCTCTGTTCAGTTGCTAGAGTTGGCCGGTTATTACCAAGTACTTTGGGATTTGTCCTTGTGGATGCTTTGTGATGTTTGATTTCTTCAATGAGATTTGCAGTGCCGGTAGCTGTTTTCGTTCTTGGTGTAGCAGCTGGACTTGAAATGATGAGCTGCAGAATGCTTTTCATTATGTCAGTGATAAGCTTTGGTGTTCTAGTGGCTTCTTATGGAGAAATAAATATCAACTGGATTGGAGTTGTGTACCAGATGGGTGGAGTTGTTGGAGAGGCCTTGAGACTTATTTTTATGGAGATTCTGGTGAAGAGGAAGGGTCTGAAATTAAACCCTATATCTGTCATGTACTATGTCAGTCCCTGCAGGCAAGTATTATTTTAATCTTTAACTAGTAAAACTTCATTCTTATGGAAGTGTTCCTTACTAGTTCCATGAACAGGAAAATTATCATCGTTTGAATGTGATTTTTGGTTCTTTTATGCAGTTCTGTTTTCCTGTTTATTCCTTGGATCTTTCTGGAGAAATCAAGGATGGAAGCACATGGGACATGGAACCTTCAACCACTAGTGTTAATACTCAACTCTCTCTGCACCTTCGCTCTCAATCTATCAGTTTTCCTTGTGATCTCACATACGAGTGCTCTGACCATTCGTGTGGCTGGAGTTGTCAAGGATTGGGTGGTTGTCTTGCTGTCTGCCCTTTTATTTGCAGATACGAAGCTAACAATTATAAACCTGTTTGGCTATGCTATTGGTGAGTGTCTCCATTAAGAAGTCTAATGATGTTATAAATGCCCGTTTAGTTAAAAATTAAGAATGTTTTTCATGAAATTCCATTTCCAAGAACAGACCCTTAATATTTGTGCTTGAAAGGCCCTTGTGAAATGTAGAGAAATCCAACAATTTACAAGTGGCATTTTGCACAAGTTATGCTAAACGGTGATTTTTTTGAACCTGTTGCAGCTATTGCTGGTGTAGCAGCATATAATAATCACAAATTGAAGAAGGAAGCTTCTAAAGGCAGTTCTGATGAATCGAAACATCCTGAATCCATACCTTTGACTGAACCATCAACCTCCAACAGTTAAATATACCATAGAGTAGTGTGTGAAGACATTTTTGAGGTATGCAATTACACGTAAAGCAATCTTTTGTTGCTTCTGTGAGATCAGTTTCTTGTATCTTGTATTTTTACTGTATTTTTTGTCTGTCAATTTTTCTGCTTGCAATTTTTATTTTTCATCAAGAAACTACCTTGCATGTTAATAGTGGACTTTGTATTGAAATTCGTCATCATATGCATTGGCTCAGCTGCTCCTACTTTGGTGTTTCTTTTTGTGCCAGTATGGAGCTGAATCTAGTGGAGGCAATGATGTGTAAAGATGCAAAACCCACAAATGCATCACTATGAAAAGAAACATTTGCGGAAACGTTTCAATGTTTGAGGTATTTTTGTTTGTAGACTGCTGTCCATTTTTTTTCTGTCACTTACTTGTAAGGAGAGAAAAGGAGGCGGCGAAGCAATTGTGTGATCCCTCGTCCCTACATTCCTTTTCCTTCTTCATCTAGAAAATACCAGTATCAATGCCCGGGTACACATGAAATTCACAAATGTATAACGTGTATAGTTTTAAATTGGGATAGTAGATGCCGATGTGCCATGCCTGCAGTTTACCTTTTCACATTTTCGTGTTCTTGCGTCTGCTGACCGACGACAGTAAAACTTAACCTCTAAGAAAAATGTCAAAATTTTCATTAAGATATAAGAATGTTTCGCCATGCCTTTCATGACCTTTCGGTCAAGTCTATTATGGTGTAAAACTGTTTTTTCTTTTATTTTTTTTAAAATATATTAAATTAGTATTTTTTATTAAAGTGTTTCTATGAAAAAAAATTATTTGATATATTTTTAAATAAAAAGTACTTTCTAAAGAACTAGTTATTTAGGGATAGGGAAAATAGCAATAAAATAGAATAGGGTCTGGTTTAAAATAAATTCTCTGCACGTTATTTATTTCCTTGATATATAAAATAGGAGAACTTTAGACCCATTTTAGGGTGTGGGGGACCATTTGGACCGACCACCGTGCGAGTGCTCATTCTAAATTTACTAATCCAAGGGAAATGACCCCGACTGAAAATTCAAATTGACTTCTCTCAAGCTCCGAAAACAGAAACAAAGACTCGCGGTTGCGGTCTCTTTTCCTTGAAAAACATTAATTTATGTCTCTCCCATGCTCGCATATTTCAAGATAAAAAAATAAAAATAATTCATAACCACCATAGGTCATAAGCACACGATCTTTTGATTGTTTAGAAAATCATTGACTACGGATGTTTGATTGATGCCCCCCATCAGCTATTTAGCTCCAGTTTGGAAGTACTATTTAGATAGATTTTTGCTGAAGTTTATTTATTTTTTAATTTTTTTATGTTTTTAATGATTTTAATGTATTGATATTAAAAATAAAAAGAATTATTTTAATATATTTTCAAATAAAAATATTTAGAAAAACAACTATAATTATTCTTCTAAATATTTATTTAAAAAAAATTAAGATACTCAAATGAAAAAAATGTATACCCATACAATTTCATAATTTTGGAGATTATCGATGTTATTACTAATTAAAAGTTTAAAAATTTATATCATATTTTTTTATTAAAAATAAAATATTTTATTGAAAAAACAATAAAATTACTAGAGAATAATTATAAGAGAGAGCGGACCCAAAATATCAAAAGAGAGAGGAGAGGGGTTATCCCTCGACAACCAGAGAGAGAGAGAGAGAGAGAGAGAGAGACATAAAAATAAAAGAAAGAAGCATTTTTCGGGATTGGTGATCTTCTTGTGATGCTGCCTCTGCTGCAGCTTCCTCCCTTTAAAAAAATGCTTCTATTTTTAATTCCTACCTGTCACAATTAATAATTAATCCCTTATTCTTTCTTTCCCAAAACCAATACCTATTCAACACACAAAGATTCGATTCCATTCGATTCGATGCGATTCGCCTTGTCCCGGCGGCTCTTGCGGTGGTTGACGACAGGAAACAGCGTCGTTTCCAATGAAGAAGAAGAAGAAACATCACCATAGATTTCGTTTTCCTATTAATGAATGGGCGGGTTTCAGCTGCAAAAATTGCAAATGAGTTGGCAACCGAATTTGCTGAGTCAACAACGCAAAAACGGTCCTCTAGGGTTAAAGAATCTCGGCAACTCCTGTTATCTCAATAGCGTCCTTCAGTGCCTCACTTACACTCCTCCTCTCGCTAATTTCTGCCTACGTTTCCAACACTCCTCTCTCTGTAAGCATTTCTATCTTTCAATTTCTGCTCTTTTTTTTTAATTTTTTTTTTGGCTAATATCATAAAGATTTTTTCAAGGTAATTCCCTTGCTAGCGGAGATAGGAAGAGAGACTGTCCGTTTTGTATTCTTGAAAAACAGATAGTCCATTCACTCAGCTCGGATCTCGCGCACGATATGCCCTCGAAGATTCGAAGCTGTTTGAAGATTTTTGCTGAGCATTTTCGCTGTGGACGACAGGAAGATGCTCACGAATTTTTGCGATATGTTATTGATGCGTGCCATAATACGTGTTTGCGTTTGAAGAAACTGAGTTGGAAAGGGATTGAGAACGGTGGTGATGGGAGTGTGGTTAAGAAGATATTTGGAGGTGCATTGCAAAGTCAAGTGAAGTGCTTGTGTTGCAATTGCGAGTCGAATAAAGTTGATGAGATTATGGATATTAGTTTAGATGTTTTGAATAGTAATTCGGTAAGAGATGCGATGCAAAAGTTTTTTCAGCCTGAGGTTTTGGATGGGAATAACAAGTACAAATGCGAAAAGTAAGTAGTTTGAATTTGTGTGTGTATTTATTTTTTGTTTTTGTGTTTGATATTTATGAATGAGAAACTTATGCTTGTTTAGGTGTAAGAAACTAGTAGCAGCTAGGAAGCAAATGTCAGTACTTCAAGCACCCAATGTTCTTGTTATCCAATTGAAGGTGGGTTTTAACTTTTCATGATTGTGTTCTTGCTGTTGTTATTTAGGTTGTAGGTTTTTGAAGTTGGTTGTGATGCTGCTTTTGAGTGATGAGAGTTATTGTTGGATTTTGGTTTTAGCAGAGATTTGAGGGCATATTCGGTGGGAAGATTGATAAGGCCATTGCATTTGAAGAAGTTTTGGTTCTTTCAAGCTTCATGAGCAAGACAAGCCAGGTTTGGATAATTTGATGAGTTCAATCGGTCGGTCCTGTAGATCTATGTGGTTGGACTTAGGTTCTTCTACTGCCAGTATTTAGTTCGTTATAAATGCACTTCTCGATTTTTATATGTGAATAATATGCATTTCTCCAACAACACACATGCACCTAGTTTGAAATTAAAATCAAATAAACTAGAAGACTTGCAATTTCTTGATGATGAGTATAAACTGTAGAATATATAACATTCATATTTCTTATATCTCGAATTTACTAGATTCAAAACTTAATATAAGCTGCTTGACATGGGATCATAGCATGACATAGATAAATAAATGTGACAGTATTCTTACCCAACTTTCCAGTTTCCATTTCCCTCTTAAATTGATCCCCAAATTGATTGAAACTGATATATGAGACTGCTAAAACCAACTTGGGGAGTGTCCAGCACAAATGATTGTGCAATCTCCACTGTCTTTCAATATCATCAATTGCAGAAACAATGGAGAATAACAGTCCATTCCTACAAGGGGATCTTCTGGTAAACTAGTTTGCCAATGCTTCATAGAATTCCTGCCTATGAAGAAAGATTGTACTACCATGCCTTCACACTCCACCCCTATCACCATTTAGTTCTCTTTACAACCTCGTCTCTTGGCAATTGAAAAAGAATGAGGGCATTATACCCTTTTGATGTAATTAATAGATCAGAATTTCATGCTGCATAAGGACAATTGCTTTTCCAATAAAAGTGAATGTGCCTTAACAATAGAAACAAAATTGACAGATATTATTTCTGATCAGATAAGGAAATTTGTTGTTTTTTCATGTGTGCATTCTCATTTGTAATCAAGTGATTGGTGTTCAAGTATCTTATCTGTGATCTTTCTTTAAGTTTACAAGGGTCAGTTATTGGTGACAAATGGACAATAGAGAGATTTCTGTTTAATGCCTTCTTTCACCTCCCAACACACAAGAAAAGGAACAAATAAAGCCTATGAAATGAAAAAAGCTACCTGATTGGAACACATGTAATCCATAGTTTATAAATATTTCACATTGTATTCTTCCCTTTTTTCCTCTGTAATTCATCTGTATTAATATTTCCTCAGGCTTCTTATTCTGTGTTGTGATTGTATAGAAAAATGATATGGCAGTACATTTATGTAGGGTCCCAAATATAGATAAAAATTGAAAGTTTGTGTGGGGAATCAAAGCACATATATGTTAGTTAAAGTGATTTCTTTGGTGCAATGCCTCATTTATAACTGATAAACTTTAATGTTTGATTGAGCACAAGTTTCATCTGTACTATAGCCATTGTGGGCCTCTGTATCTTATTATGACAATTTCTATATTTATTTAATTATTTTTTCCTTTTTTAATCCATCACAGGATCCACAACCCAAGTATAATCTTTTTGGTATCATTGTGCACTCTGGATATTCCTTGGAAGCTGGACACTATTATGCATACATCAAGGTCTGTTCACTGGCTTTTTTAATTTTCTTTTTTCTTTTTTTATGTACTTCATTATTGATTTTGGTTTATGGTAGTTATAAAAGCTGCTACTTCAATTTTTTTTAATTGATACCACTTCCATATATTTGTATGCAGGATGCAATCGGTCGGTGGTATTGCTGCAATGATTCGTATGTGACAGTCTCAACACTGCAGGAGGTCTTGTCAGAGAAGGCCTATATTCTTTTCTTTTCTCGCACTAACCAAAGGCCAGTATCTGCTGACTCTGCTTTTACCTCCAATGGAGTAAAATCATGTGAATTGAATGGCAGTGAAGCATCTAAAAGTTCAAAGGCTGCCGTTCCTTTGAAAGCACTGCCTACAAAACCACAGGTTGAACAATCTTCAAGAAAGGATATTTCAGCCATGTCTAAGATTGATAGAGTGCCTTCTAGCCCACCGGTAAAGTTCAGTTTTGTTGGGAACTCTGGATCCAAAAGTGGTCCTTCACCTCTTAATGGAAAGGTTGATCCTCATAAGTGTCAAAACAAGGAAATGAATGGGAATGAGAAAGAGACAGTTCATGTGGAGATATGTGACAAAGATGTATCAACAGTGACAAGCAGTAATGGCTTTGAAAAGCATAAAAATGTTGATGCTGTTGAAGGTGAGACCCACCACACATTTGCAGCAGCAAGTGAAAATGCTCATTCTCAAAATGGTGCTTTTAATTCTGTAAAGCCACATATCTGTGACAGTAATAATACAAGAAGCAAGTTGACACCAGGAAGAGGACATGATCAACTTGAATTGCAAAATGGTGGTATGAAGTATCACGCTGACATTTCAGGTTTGAAGAGAAAGCTAAAGGAGGAATCCTGCATTTTGCTTTCACAGGATGCTCAATCTCTAGCCAAAGTTGAAGAATTCAAAGAAGTGTATGTTATATTATACTTAATCTGTTTTGAAGTCTTATTTATTGAACTGATTAGCTTCTGGAGTATGACCTAAATTTCCTA